GGTAATTTCTGAAATTTTTCAATTTGGTTATTATATGGACTAGTATCAATAAAAGCATTTGCAAGAGGGGGAGAGTTCTTCTTTTCCCAGTATAAATTCGTTAAGTTCTCTACAGCTACAGTTGAAATTTTGGTGATCATAAAATTACTAAAAGACCTATACTTAATAACTTGTTTATTTGCTAAAAAATCTCTTCGAATGCACAGAGGCGGGTCCTGTGCCTCAGCAAGAATTGCATGATTAGGTGACGATACCATAGCCCCTAAACATATTTTTAAGGCTTTAAATTGAATTCGATCTATGGATAACAAATTTGAATTACACGTCGATCCATAAAGAGTACATCCATAATCCAGTATAGAACGAATATAAGATTTATAAAATGTGAAGGCGATGTTTGGGTCTGCACCCCACTTATTTTTAGAAACTATACGTAGGAGATTAAGTCCTTTATCACACTTTTGCCTTATGTATTTTATATGATTGGTCCATAGCAATTTTTTATCTATAACTAAACCAAGGTATTTGTATTCACTAACTATGGGTATAGTCAAGTCACCTAATGAGCAATATTCAGCAGTTCTAAGTCTGTGTCGCGTAAGGCACATAACAGCTGATTTCTCCTGTGAAATACTAAAACCCATGTCACTAATCCAGTCTTTTAAACAATAAAATACATATTTTAAATCTCTCATACAACGTTCATATGAATTTTGGATGGTATAAAAGCATATGTCATCTGCATATTGGATGATTTTAATGGTATCATCCATCAAATCATGCAGTTCTGCTGTATATATATTAAAAAGAAGTGGACTTAAAACAGCTCCTTGTGGTAAACCATTATATACGGTTCTCGGGCCATGTAGTACATTTTTATGATCACGGACAAATATCTTTCTGTTTATGAATAAGTTGATTATGTTTGCAGATACCTTATAATTGATGCCCATTTTATTCATCTTAGATTGTAAAATACCTAGATCAACCACGTCATAGGCGCCTGTTAAATCTATGAATAAACATAACATATACTTATTTTTGGAGAAACAAATTTGTGCGTCAGTAATTAAGTGTGTTAAGGCATCAATTGTGCTTTGACCTCTACGAAATCCATACTGAGTACTAGGCAAGAGAGACCTACTTTCAACAAAATGTTCTAGTCTAAATTTTATCATCCTCTCGAAGGTTTTGGAAACACATGACATTAATGAGATGGGTCGATAGGATGATGGGACATCTATGGTTTTATTTGGTTTAAGTACAAGACAAATGATTATATTTTTGAATATATCAGAATATTCTTGCTTTAACCACCAATTATTAAAAAACTGTAAAAATAATTTTTTTCCTACTTCAGGAAGATTGTACAAAATTTTATATGTGAATCCATCCAGTCCTGGGGCAGAATTTCTGCTCTTTTTTAAAGCTAAATTTAGTTCTTCATGAGTAAATGGAATAGATAAAGGATTTGAATTGGAAATAAATTGAAAACGGTTATTATAACAACTAAAAAGGTTACCAGGAACAGATGGGGGAGCTAGTTTATCCAGAATATTTTCAATTAGTTGTTTGCCTAAAGGAGGCTTTTTTTTCTGGTGATATTTATTAGTGATAGATCTAATAAGGTGCCAAATTTCAGATATAGGAGTACTCCTATTTAATTTATTTAGGAAAGACCTCCAACTAATTCTTTGTTTTGATTTGAACAACTGTTTAGTCCTAGCAGCAATATTTTGATAGTGTAGGTAGTTACTAAAATTTCCTTGTTTTTTGAATTTCTTTAATGCTTCTGCACGATTTTTAACCATGGTTGAACATTCCTCGTCCCACCAATAGGGCCTGGGAGATAAAGGGGTAAAAGGTTTTTTAGTAGGCATAGATTTGGATGCAGCTGAAGAAATAGTGTTAATCAGTTGAAGTATTTTGTCTGAATTATTGGATGATATAAAAAGAGACGAAAGTTCGTTTTCTAAGTAAGACTGAAATGCGGGCCAATCAGCTCGCATATCATTCCATTTGGTACTTGGATTGATTTCAAATATTGTAGGGTTAATTTGTATTTCTATTTTAATTGGACAGTGGTCTGAACCTAAAGAATCTGGATATACCGACCAACTTAAACGATCTGCTAAAAGAGGGGAGGTAAGAGTTAAGTCAACTGCAGAGTTAATTCCATTGGGATTAATTCTAGTTGGGGATCCATCATTCAACGTAATGAGTTCAAGATAATCCATGGCTTCAACTAGATTTTTTCCACCACGGTCATCTGGGATAGGACCCCATAAACCATGGTGTGCGTTGAAATCACCGCAAAAAATAGTAGATGGGAGTTTAAATTGTTGAAAGAGGTTGATCCAATCATTTTGAATAACCGCTACATCAGAAGGTTTATATATTGAAACTAAAAAGATATCGCTTTCAGTAATATGAACTGCACATACTTCTATACCAATGTCAAAGCTTTCGTTTACCTCAATCTCTTGATAAGATATACTTTGTAAAATAAAAATGCCAACACCACCGTATCCATCATCTCGACATTTTAGTACAGAATTATAACCTTTTATACTAAAATTATTATATGGTTTCAACCATGTCTCAGATAATATAATTATGTCTACATGATTTTCATTAATATAATTTAGGATACTATTTTTATTAGCAACAATAGATCTGCTATTCCATTGTAGTATAGTTAATTTTTCTGTCAATTTATTTTGGGTAACTATGATGTAATTTATTTTTTAGTAGAAATTTTTTTCACTTCCATACTCTGATTCACTACTTATTTCCATCATATCCCGATTCAAGTCGTTAGACTCTAACGTATTGTCGATAATTTTTTTAATTTCAAAATCTGAAATACAATTTGATGAACCAGAAGGGATTGATCTGGTTATTTGATTAACAACTGCTGTAACGAGTAGAACAATTTTATCTTTATAATTCATAAAGTCATCTCTATGCGGATTGGGGATAATAGGCATAGACTTAGGTTTAAGGTTGTAAGTTTTTTTCAAGGGAGTAGAACTTATAGATGGGGATGTTGGTGTAAATTTTCGTTTTGCTACCCTTGGGCTGGCAGGTTTTGTAACAGGTTTTTTTATTGTATAAGTCGATATATGGCTACTGGAACTATTAGGTAATGGGGGAAAGTTGTTAATATCGTTTAATAAAGAAAATCGATTGTTTGTAGTAACTTTTGCGTAAGAAGGATTATTATATATATGTTCAGCTTCTCTAAAAGTTATGTTTTCACGAGCCATAATCTGTTTAATGTTTCTCTGCTTCGTATAAATTGGACATTTCCGTGAGATTGAAGGGTGCTCATTATTTTGACAATAAATACACCGACTAACATCTGTACACTCGTCATCATTATGATTCGTGTCAGTACATTTTTTACATCTACTGTCTTTAGACTTGCATTGCCTAGCCGAGTGACCGTAACGTAAGCACTTAAAACACTGTACAACTGGCTGTACATAGGGCTCAACAGTAAAATTACATAAATTAATTTGAACAGTCTGTGGAATTTCGTTACCCAAAAATTGTACAATTATCATCTGTCTATTTACAAAACATGAATTTCCGTCTGTATCCACTACCTTACGTTTCATTCGCTGTACACTTACCACTTCTTTAGTTGAAATTATTGCATTTAACAAATATTCTTCAGAGAAAAAAGTATCTACCATTCTAACTACACCCTTCTTATGGGTGTAAAACTTTGGAATATATGCAATCAAATCGTTTTTAACTATAACATCATTATTAACTAACGAATTTGCAATTACTAAAGATCATGCTATTCAGTCAACAACTGTCAAATTTTCATAACAATACATCAATCGCAGTTTCAAAAAACTGATTCCACCTACAGCCGGTTGTGCAGCACTAACCTTTTTGTATTACCAAATTCAGAATTTGTATCATCAGCTCACAAATATTGAGATTCTCAATTTTAGAATTGTTCCATTTTATTTTCAATTTCCATAGTATATCGGTAGTAAAGGCACTAAAAATCTAGTGAGAAAGGAGATCACATTTTCATAGTCAATTTTTATGGTCGCGCAAAAAATTGGCAAAAAGGGACCAAAGTAGTGACCAAGTGAAACAGTGTTGTTTTTTCATTACAATTGTAGTAGATCTATTACATTTTGGTTTATGTCATTACTTCAATTGGACTGCCCACACCACGTGACCCTGGTCCTTTAAAACTAGCGACATTTAGACATACAAACATATGATTTACTTTGGTATTTGGTATGTTAAAAAGTAAATATTTGCTTTGTTTTTAATACGTTGAAAACCATCTATAAACATTATTAATAATAGTCAGCTGACTTTTCTTCATATTCTAAGATTCTGAGATTATTTTTGAATATTTATCAGGTTATGTTACCTCCACTAGCTCGACTTTGACGTAAAAGTGTAATGCAAAAGTATCGTCATATCATCTCCTCTTTATTCTATCTTAATGATTAGAAAGGTTCATATGCCCCATTTTACTTTGTGACGTTACGCCTTTTTATTTGCGATGAACGAAATAGCGTGCTTTTAAATTAAACGGTGACATTGTTTGTTTCACGAATCTGTTGACCTCTCTTTTTTACTACAGGCATTTACGGAAACCTCGTGCTCAATGAGGATAGTGCACCAACCATTTATATAGTAGTCTAGTATATTTTCTTTAAATTTTATTAAAATCGCTTCATTAATAAAACAGATATTAACTGGCCCTGGTCTCATTGTCATCCGGTATACAAAACAAATAGTTTAGTTAAGTATCCCATCATTTCCAAACAATTTTTTTTCAGCGACTCCTGTACTGACTTTATCAGCAACACGTACTGGAAAAATGATCAAACGGAAATTCCGAATCCAGCAAAAAGTTCCCAATTTTGCGTTAACATTTCGAAAGGTGAGAAAATCGAGTGCCGAGAAAAACAATTCAAGGAAAATTACTTTGGAGAGTTGGTTTTCTACCGAGGAGACATGTCTCGGACATCTGAAACTCCGAAAAAGACAAAAAAGTCGTTGGAAATGGTTTTCAGACCACCGCCTCCTATTCTTCGACCACGTAGTGACATAGGTAAGGAATAAATGGTTATACATTTAGAGAATTAAAATTCTACATAATGAAGATTTATTTTTGTTTTAATTATGGAAGAACTTTAATTTTCATTATTGTGTAGATTAAAATAAATGAATTGATAACAAGGTATGATGAAATCATATCTTCATGTCTGAGATTTATATAAGGTTAATGAATGAATAATTGTTCTTTAATAATATACGAATATTTAAGGGTGTGAATCTGCATGAAACATTAATGCTAATTTGTTTTATAAAGTATGGTACAGAAATGTTCCGGTATAAAAATGTTCCGGTACAAAAATGTTCCGTTACAAAAATACGGGGTACTAAAGTTTGCGAACTGTTTGTTGTAAAAAGATGGGTATACATATGCAACCGAACTGTTTCAGATAAGTTACATACAATTTAACATAAAATACCATTCTGTATATAATTATGAGTCATAAATATTAGGAGATAGAATAAGCGCAGGTTATTTGGACAAAACTATGAGAATTGATTTAAATATGCCTTAATTAAATGTGAAAAAAGATACTGTTTAATAGTGTGTCTAGTTAATACTAAGTATTTATGAATTATGCAAATCAACGTACTATATGTAAATGGAAAAACCATTGTTATATACTCAGACAGTCAAGCGACGTTAAAAGCACTCAGTTCCATGCAGGTACACTCAAAGCTTGTGTGGGACTGTTTGGAAGCCCTAACAGAGCTGGATAGTCAAAACAGACTAACCTTAGTCTGGGTACCAGGCCACAGGGGACACAAAGGAAATGAAGAGGCTGATTTACTAGCCCGAGAAGGAGCATCAAATGCTCTTATTGGCCCAGAACCCTTCTGTGGTGTAACAAAAACAACTATCAGAACATGCACAAAGCAGTGGATGTTTTAAAAATCTCAGGAGTGGTGGGAAAACTCACCAGGACAGAGACAGGCCAAAAAGTTCTTAAAATGACCATCGTCTAAACTCACCGAGCATCTACTAAGCCTTAATAGGAAAAATACTAGAATACTAGTAGGTCTATTAACAGGGAATTGTAGGCTTAACAAACATATGTTCAATATCGGTCTGACAGAAGAGGCCTTGTGCCGATTCTGTCAAGAAGAAGAGGAAACGGCAGAACACGTATTGTGCTACTGCGAAGGTCTAGTAAGACTGAGATTCCTTACACTTGGAGAAGAAAAACCAAGGGCAACTAGCTATACCGGAGAACTACTTCCCAGTCTATGGAGTCTACTACAAAAGACCGCATTAGACAAGGTACTCTAAACAATGATTAAAGGATATCCACAATAGATCTGAAAAGGTCGAGGTGGGGGAGGCCATGGCCCATAGTCCTAATTAAATCTAATCTAATCTAACGTACTATATTGTTTTGTATTGTTATGTGAAGTTTTTCTTTATTTGAATTTTTGATAGATATATTTTTATGAGATTTGTCAAGCACTGATAATATAGTAGGTATTTTACTAAATAATAATAATAATAATTTATTACTCAATAATAATTTATTACTCTTTAACAAATACAGGTAAGTAAACTTATATTTTTGTTTTTTACAAAATATTGTTTTTATCTTAACTCTTTTTAATGTCGAATACATTTAAATATAATCAGGTGCATTGTATTTTATTAAGAAGTAATCTGTAAAAATGAAATCTCAACCAAAAAAAAAACTTCTCTGGGTTCAGAATAAAGATGTATATAAAACCAACATCATTTACTGAGACTAATTCCTTTTATGCGTCTAGCCGAATCGCCTTGAAGAAAAAAAAAAACATTATTTATTTGACGTAAATGGAGTATAAGGGGGCTGTTATGGCTTATGGCTTATTGACATAGTAAAGGTCGTATATCATATTCAGGGTATATTAATGTAGTAAAGGTCATTTATTCTTTTATTATAGAGAAACTGGGGAGGAAGAGAATACAAAGAGTTGCGTAATTTTAGAGTTTTTCTTGCGAGAAGGATAATAATTTGATTTAAGAGGGTTATACTTCGTTTTTCTCAATAAAAGCCAAATCATGGATCAAAAATGAAGTTCATCCTATAGATTATTTTCAGGAAAATACTGATATCAAAAAAACATTATTTTTTGAATGTACAATAGCTTTGTTTATAGAGTTAACGTTTTGAACTGCCATTAAATACAGGGTGTCTGAAAAGTCACTAGGTGATTTAAAAATGTAATAACTTCTGACTTGTAAGGCTTTTTAAAATTTTTGTTTCAGGTTTGGAAATTAGAAGCTTGAGAGATTTGTTATGGAAAAATTTACCGTTATCCAAAGAGTTACTATTGTGGAAGTCTATTTTGAACACCATCGATCAATTACAGAAACTGCACTTTTTCGATTGCGTATAGTCATTTCCCAAGGGAAAATTTCATGCATTGAAAAGTCTGCAAAATGCTCTTTGAGTTTCTGTAATTGATCAATGGTACCTATTTAAAATAGAGTTCCAGAATAGCGACTCTTTTCTCCATAACAAATCTTCCAAGCTTCTAGTTTCCAAATCTGATATAAACATTTTTAAAAAGCCTTACAAGTCAGAAGTTATTACATTTTAAAATCACTTTTGGGACACCCTGTATTTTGTTTATTGTACATTGTTTACTAATTTGTTTAACTAATTGATAAATAACTTTTATCACGCCAAATATATTAACATTTTCATCAAACGGTAAATCCTTTATTTGTGAAAATTTTATATACAGTGTCGACAATTGAACGTTTTCCAATACGCTTTGCACAAGTATATGTAAAAACTGTAGAAAGTCTCATTAGAGTGAACAGGAAGCGAATATCAAAGTTGCCAGTTGTAACGTTGGACGGGCTATATAAAGTGGTTTTAAAACATTAAGAAGATTAAGAGGTGATTTACTTACAGAATTCTTCATGGTACTTTTTCATCCAACCTCTATAGTATACTCCCACGGAATACAGATGTGCGCCTACGTGGATATCAGTATAAATTGAGCAAAGAAAATTTTAAAACACGTACCCGATAAAACTTTTTTGTAATAGAGTTTTTTTGACCCCCAGTTTTAAGCCAGAAATTAACATTTTTCACTATAGAATTTGCAGGTAAAATATAACCTTTTTTATGAATCACCCTGTATTAGTAAACAATAATGTAAACAGCCGAAGCCGATTTTGAACTGTTTAAATTTGACAGTTTATGTGTATAACTAAACATCAATTTAGTCGTGTTTGAGGTGCAACTGATCCTATTTTTTAAAAAAATAGTCAATCAGAATTATAATTATTTATATACCTTCAGGGATTACATATTTTAATAACTTTCAAAGGACCTCCAAAAAGTCATTTTTTTATAAACCAAAAATCCAAACAGGAATGTGAATACAACCAGTGGCGGCTCGTGGTAATTTGAAATGGGTGTTCACTTTTTCCAATAATTTGATCATTTTTGTAAGTTCGGCCCAAAACTTTGTACAAGAGCTAATATCGCTGTTTTTATTATTATTGGAGTTTGTAATAAATGTAGTTATTATCAACATCATACTATTTTCAAGCACTATAACTATTAATAAATGAATATTTTAGTTAGTGTGATATTTGTTTTGTTTTTAATACATTGAAAACCACCTATAAACATTATTAGTTAACTGACTTTTCTTCATAATTTGAGATTATTTTTAAATATATATAAGGTTATGTAGAAAGCTTGACATTGATTTTTGTGTAAAAAATATTATATGAAACTTTACCTACCATTTTTCAGTTTTTATTGTAAATTTAATCATTTTCACATTTTGTCACACATGTCAAATAAAAAATATATTTTTTAAATACCTTTTAAAATAATAACTTTTATATAAAATAAGAACTAAAATGTTTTAAATGTTTATTTTATGAGATCAGTCCTATCACAATACATACTATTACACAAATACAAACTAGAATAAAGGTATATAATGCCTGGCATTCTAAATGATACTTTTCGCAGTTTAACAGACTCCCTTAACTACCCATTTTCTACCAGATAGTTTTCACAATCAATAGGGCTCATCTCCTTATAGGGCTTGATTTTTACTAAAAATGTTGATATCGCTTTTCATTTTTGATTTTTTGTTTTTAATTTTAATTTCAATCCCCTTTAAATCCCCCATATTTAATTAGATTTTTTTTAAATAAAGGTAGTGGTGGCTCGTTATATTTTAAAATATTAATTCCTCGATTAATACAGTGCAAGAAAGAAACATCAAGTTTAAATTATAGAAATAATGCAAAAACATGCTTACCTAATATAATCAGTGTCAGGTTTTTGCTCGATTCATTGGGTAGTTCAGTAGTTTAATAATAATAATAAAAGTGTTTTTTAATTTTTGCTGATAAATGAGATAATTCCCTAACACCCGTTTTTGTCCTTTCTGATTTAGTATTTTCATTGTTTGCAAAAACTAAACAAGGAAAACAAAACAAAGCATGTTGTTTATCACACCCGCACAACCACGAAGTTTTTTTATATTGTTCAATCTTAAAAGTATGTTTAAACTTTCTATTTCTTATGGCACATTCTTGAACAATGTTTATCTCCGATCGAGGTGGGCCATTCTTTTTTATAAGCACTCGATTCTCGAAATTATGTCTATTTGTTTTTATAAATTTCACCAAATACGATACGTACATAAACACTAGTAAATTCACACAGAACCTAAGACCAGTACAGCCAACCTCAAAACAACGAAAATTCGGTTCACGGAACACAAAAATCCATAAAAAGTATAATTTGTAAAGGGATCTCGTGTCTCACTGAGTGTATTCTCACTTTCTTATTTTATATATCGATAAACAAGGATACAAATATATTCAGGTTCATATTTATAAACAGAACTCAGCTGAGTCGGAGTTGGGTAAGTCGTCCTTGAACTAAAATCAAAGTTCGGTTACAACGTCTCTAAAGTTCCAAGTGGTTCCGGTGTCACACTAGAATTTAGAGATGGATATTAGCAAATCTGTAAGTGTTAAGTAGGTACATTTACGGATTACTACTCATCTCTAAATTCGCACGATATAACCGATCCCCAGGTAGACGGAATGACAGTTTGTTTGATTTGGTACAGTGTTGCCAGAATATGTTTTTGTTATGTACCAGATTTTTCGAATTCTATTTGCAGTGACATATAATTTATTGAAGAGGAAAAAAGGGGGTTTTTATAGATAACGAACTCAAACAAGGAACACAATATATTTATATATATATTTTACACGTGAACACTGCCTCAAGCAAAATTTACTACATCTAGTACAATTGTAAATTGTACTAGACTGGCAACACTGGTTTGGCAACCTTGTTTGTGAGCGACGCGCCAATTAATGAGTTCTTTTGACGTTTGAAGGATATGTTGGCGTGTTATTTTCTCTTTTTAACTTTATGCATTCATCAAATCGTCTCACTCGTGTTAGGCTCACTCATCATAATGCGCCACAGACACGGTATACTTAGGTATTCTATGTCACAGAGATGCGATCAGCCAGAGGGCAATGATGTACCAAAAAATATAGATTAACACGTATGAAAATAAAAATATTAAAATAAATTTATATTTTTGTTATTTATGTAATTTTAAAATAAGTGTTTTTATGAAATTTAACTGGGTGTTCACTGAACAAATGAACCAATGGAGAAACCGCCCCTGAATACAACACTGGATAAACAAACATTGTCCATCTGTGCTCAGTCAACACGACGATGACACATAGAAGGGTGCTAAATTACCAATTAGAACATAAGTTGATCAAAATCACAGAATTACTATTGGATATCCCAGACCACGTGTATGGGCATTTCTTACGGGCTATCGTGGGCTACTGAAATAGATATTTGCGAAAGGCTCGATTCAACTAAAATTAAACTGTTATAATTTATTGAACCGACAGACTCTCATCGTACAGCGATGCCACATATCAAATATTTATTCGATACTAGCTTCCAGCATTTTTGTTCGAAGGTACTATGCGCTAAACGTACACAGTCGTTTAGTTGTAATAGAATTGTACTTATCACTTTTTTGCAGTTTGACAACTGTGTTTTCTAAGCTAACGTTGGCGGTGTCTTTGTGAATTATATACAGAGTGGCCCAAAAGTCTGGAAACGGCCAATTATCTCGTAAATTGCTAATCCTAATTGTGCAAAATTTGGGGTACACCTATTTTGGGATACGGAGATTCCAGATTTAATATTTGCAATGTTACAGATTTGCCGTTTCGCTTATATTATTAGTCACTTTAGTTTTTCAAATTCATCACCCTGTATATTCAGTCATTATTGAAATCTCCTATTCAATACGAGATCAACCATATGTAACACTTATGATTTTATGTAGTCTGGATGGTCTTAAATAAATAAAACAATCATGGAGAAATGTGGTAGACGCATTCTACCATCGATTAGGGTACTGTCACATTTTGAACACTTGATAAAGTAACCATTATGTTAAAAATGTTATAATCTTTCAATTGTTACGTTTTAATGTAGTTGAAAATAATGAAAATAGTTTATATTAAAAAATTTATTGAGACAATTAGGCGTTGTTAGACTTATTTTATTTATTTATGACCTTCCAGACTATATAAAATCATAAGTGTTACACATGGTTGAACTCGTATTGAAAGGAGATTTGAATAATGACTGAATATACAGGGTGAATTTGAAAAACCAAAGTGACTAATAATTTAAGAGAAACAGTAAATCTGGTAACATTGCAAATATCAAATCTGGAATCACCGTATCCCAAAATAGGTGTACCCCAAATTTTGTACAATTAGGACTAGCAATTTACGAGATAATTGGCTGTTTCCAGACTTTTGGGCCACTCCGTATAGATGTATTAATAACACTGATATTTAATTGTGGAATAGTAAAATTTATATGTGCCGTCTACTATATACTTAGTGTACTGTTTTTGTCATCTTGTGTATATGTCTACTTCCATTATTCTTTTCAAGATTAACTTTTATTTTTTTATCCTAGGTTTGATATCTTTATAGCTGCAATTTCCGCGTTTGTTCTATCCTCCAATTTTACTCAGAATCGTGTTTGGGGTTGTTGCGGTTTCCATAAATTATATTTCCCCTTTTATACTGGACTTGATCCAAAAATAAAAGTGGAACTAGCAAAATTGGCGATTGTATATGTTTGGGAATAAACTTTCCATACAGGTCCCTCACAAACACTTAAGAAATAGTATATTTACGAGTGAGAAAAGTGAAAAATCACGTTTACCTATAAGTGATGTACATTGTTTTTCATAAGACGTAAAAATAATTTCATAAAAAAAATGTAGAACCAGCAAATTTGGTTATGGAGATGCAATTAAGATGTGACTAGTTTTACTAGGTTTGTTTTTTATATTAGTTTTAAATAATTTTACTGATACCCTTCCTATTAGGGTTGACACCTTTTTTGAAAAGTGCTAATAGGGGACCCGTCTAAGTACTTCTAAAAAAACAAAGGATCTTAGTTTGTATATTTTTGTACAAGCCATGTCTCTTTTAAAGATATCAAAGAGTAAAACAGGACATCTGCCGTATAAGAGGATATTTAAACTTTAAAAAGACATTTTCCTTAAAAAAGGACTGTCCTTTTCAAAAAAGGATAGATGGCAACTCTCCCTCCTATATGGGGTCTTGTATTTGTATTTCTCTCAAAGTTGCATTATTTATATTGGCGTTAGCAACTTCTCCGATTTATTTCAAAAATATCTACCAAATCTTAACTCTTTATCTTTTATAGTTAAATTATTAAATAAATGTAAATAAACTGTGATTTTAGAATAACCTTCTTTAGGCAACAATTCTTACTACTGCTTTAAACTTGTCTCATAAATAACTTTTTGTTGCAGGTTTTCAGGCGGATTCGAGTTCTTCCAGACGCATAAAAATTCTCAGTCTCGCTGAACGCGAATCATCCAGAATACAGTTTCTCGATTCGCTTACTATAAGTAAACACCAACCCCACAAGGATAATGCTGAATCTGCGAGAAATTCTATTCCCACTTGTTTGCCTAGTAAAATACCTTTAAACAGGAAGTCGAAGGTAGTCAATCAGAGGTAAATATGAAGATATTGTATGTTATTTGATATGAACCAATGTTGGCTCAGTATACAGAGTAGTTTTCCAGTCAATAGAAATATAGTTTTTTAAGTAGGTATACAGGGTGGACCGGAAATTAATATATGCAATATTCTTTTCATAGCAAAATTAAACGTTTTAGTTTAAAATAGTTACTTGAAATTTTTTTCCAAATTGTCGCGAAACTTTCAGGTTTACTAATTAAAATTGGTTCTTTAAAAAATGGCAGAACTTAAAAAAGGCTGAACTTTATTTTATGTGTTAACAATATAAAAGTAAAAATGTAAAAGCTGGAAAATGCTAGAAAATGTTGGAAAATGCTGGAAAATAATAATTTTTGTTGCCGCTAGATCTTGGTGGGAGGGGGGGCTTTTCTTGGACCTGCAGCGTCTGCATAATTCAAGTTGTATTCGTTAAAATTGTGTTTTCATAACTTTTCCAGCCTTAGACGAGAATCTGGGTGCTGGCCTCTGGATTTTCTTTCTTGGAGCTTTCCTTCGTTGAATTCTTTCTATATTTTTTAAGGTTCCTTTTAATAGGACATTATCTTTGTCATGTCTGCAGATTCATTGGATTACTCTGTTCTGAGGTGTGATGATCATGAATTTATAATGATAATTTTTTAAAATTTTTATGTCCACAATGTTGAGAGGGATGGTTTGGCAGATGATGAGGTTCTTAGAAAACCTTAACAATAAAATTTCGCAGAGGGCGTCTTCTTCTACTGGAGAATTGCTAATTTCTTGTCATTCTGAATCAAATGAAGTGAAATTTTATCATGGCTTGACAGAGGGTTAGGTTCTTGGAAAACCGCAACAATAAAACTTCTGGAACAAATGACATGAAATTTTGTAATGGTTTAACGGTTGTTGAGGTTCTTGGAAAACCCCAACAGGAATACTTTGCATGAGGTATCTTCTCCTACTGGAGTTGGTAGTGATTCGTGATTGATGAATTCTTGGTTGCTAATTTCTTGACATTCTGGATCAGATGATGTAAAATTTTGTAAATGTTGGCAGACGTTGAGGTTCTTGGAAAACTCTAACAATAAAACTTCGCAGGGAGCGTCTTCTTCTACTGGAGAATTGTTAATTTCTTGACATTCTGAATCAAATGACGTAAAATTTTGTCATGGCTTTACAGAGGGTGAGGTTCTTGGAAAATCGCAAAAATAAAACTTCGCAGAGGGCGTCTTCTTTTACTGAATCAAATGCCGTAAAATTTCATCATTGTTTAACAAATGCTGAGTTTCTTGAAAAATCTCTACATTAAAACTTCGCAAGGGGCGTCTTCTTTTACTGGAGTTGGTAGTGATTCTTGACAAATAAATGCTTGGTTGCTAATTTATTGATATTCTCGAACAAATGACATGATATTGTGTCATCGTTTGACAAATGGTGAGTTTCTTGGAAAACTTCAACAATAAAACTGCGCAGAGGGCCATCTTCTTCTACTGGGGTTGTGATTTGTGACAGATAAATTCTCGGTTGCTAATTTATTAACATTCTGGAATAAAGGACATACAATTTTATCATGGTTTAACAAATGTCAAGTTTCTTAAAAAAACTTCAACAATAGAACTTCGCAGGGGGCATCTTCTTCTACTAGAGTTGGTAGTGATTTATGACAGATAACTTCTTGGTGGCTAATTTTTTGATCATTCTGAATCAAATAACATGAAATTTTATCACGGTTTAACAAATGCTGAGTTTATCGAAAAACTTCAACACAATAAAATTTCGCAGGGGGCGTCTTCTTTTACTGGAGTTGGTAGTGATTCGTGACAGACAATTTCTTGGTTGCTAATTTATTGATATTTTGGATCAAATGACATGAAATTTTGTAATGGTTTAACGGTTGTTGAGCTTCTTGGAAAACCCCAACAGTAATACTTCGTATGAGGCATCTTCTCCTACTGGAGTTAGTTGTGATTCGTGACAAGTACATTCTTGGTTGCTAATTTCTTGACATTCTGAATCAAATGACATGAAAGTTTATCATGGTTTAACAAATGCAGAGTTTCTTGAAAAATTTCAACAATAGAACTTCGCAGGGGGCATCTTCTTCTACTGGAGTTGATAGTGATTCGTGACAGATAAATTCTTAGTTGCTAATTTCTTGGCATACTGAGTCAAATGAGCAATTTTTGAATTAGCTATAATCATTTGGAAAAGGTTGTTTTTAGAACTGTTTCCACAATTGAGATTTCTATGATTGCTATGATTTTTTTTAATATGTTCGAATGCACCTAATCTTATAAGATTAATCAGCATTTTACAATAAGTTAATTTACTACCATATTTGAAATCTAGATTTCATCTGTGTTCAATACTAGTTATTATCATATTTTGCTCACTTCAATATTGTGGCTCATAGCACTAACTCTGTTTTGTCGCGATCATCACGATCACTTCATTTGCGCAAGCTCAAAAGATGTGACTCTTTTAATCTCTAGAGGTAAGCAGAGGTAAAAAGAAATGTAGAAGGTAGCAAAAGGTAAACAGGTGTTATGAGTAAAGGTGTATACAGGTATGTAAAATCTATTGACGAGCCTCGCCTAGCCTAATTCGTATTGTAGAAAGCTGGTCAAAGCTGATCAAGACCTGAAAAGCTGATCAAGACCCAAAAAGCTAATCAAGAACTGATTCAAAACAGATCAAGACGTGATTAAAAACAGATCGTTGAGATATAAATGTATACAAATCAAGATATATACTGTTGTTGATTGATCTGTTTTTAATTAGCATTGACATTGTTTCTCTTTTCTACAATAGGGGCTAGGGTAGGCGAGGCTTCTCAATACCCTTCAAGCTCACCTGTATAGTTAACATTTAACACACCTGTACACATCTGTACTTATGACATATGTCTATCTTTTGTTACCTTCTGCGATATTTATTTTTAACTTTGATTCACTCTAGGGATGGTTACAGCTCTGTCACACATTGTCGATCACTTCTTTTTCTTCAAGTAGTTTTTCAAGACCGAAGTTATCAGACTAGAGAACTAGATAGTATAGCTTACCATTGTGATCCAGTACCGCTCTAGATTTACTACTGTTGCGTTTATTATATTGGTCAGATTTACTTAATTTTTCGTGAGAATTTTTTTAGCATCTTTTTTGTGATCAGATTGGACCCGAGAGCTTCTATTATATTATTATTATTTTTTATTTTCTTTGTACTTTTTTAGGACTAGGTAATATTTTGTCTATATAACTTCTATATAACTTCCTCTTGGTTGTCAATTTTAATTTCCACCCGTTTTAAACAGCAAAAACATCAATTTTTGTTTGTATTTTTTTGCCCACTTTGGGGGTATATGTTGAATTAGTTTGTTAATTTTTTTGACAGCTTTCCATAATGAGTAATCAGTGATTTGGTCGTCTGTAAGGTTTTTCAAATGTTTGTTTGTTGACTCATTTTTAATTTATTTTATCTCTCTTCATAGATGTTGTCTATTTAATTTGGTTGTTCTCTTCAGTTCTCCTATTTTGTCACTTCTTTTGAGCCTTTCTTTTGTTTTGTATTAAATCTCTTATTTCTTTGGGGTAATTAAGACCTATGATCTTCATGGTGTATTACTCGATGTAGTTTGATGAATATTGATCATAAATAATTCCTTTCTTGTAACCAAATCTTTCACCGTCCTAATTTGAACATTTAATTCATGTTTTTTATTGAGTTCAAATCAAAATTTTTCTCAGTCTGTATATTTTTTCGTCAATGTGGAATTAAATTCTCTACTGATAATATTTTCACTCATTGTTAGAGGTATTGCAATTTTTTTTGCAATATTTCTGGAAATAAAAAGTCCAGAAGGTCCAGTATTTAGTAGCTTTGCTAATATGTAGGTCTTTCTGTGGAGTGCCACCTATATTTCTGATCTTTGATACTCTGCTTCAGTTCTTTTCCTTTTGTTGTGAGTAAGTATTCAGCTCCAGCAGACATTTTTTGTGCTAAAATTAGAACCTAATATAAAATTTTTGCTAATACTTGTCAAGAAGTATCTGTATCTGTAACGTGTGGAGGGTGGGTTACCCCCACGGCACTTTGTGGCCCATTGTGAATCCTCCTAAGATGATAGGCTCCTCCTAGCTCGTGAGCCAGCCTACAGATTTAATGTAGTTGACAACGTCGCCAAGAGGTGCTTCTCTTATATCGGCCGGTGTTAGCCGATACTCGCCGAACAAAAATCTTCTAACAAATGAGAGCGTCGGGCAATCGTAAAGGATATGCTCGATGATCTCATCTTCTTGTTCGCACCCTCTGCAGAGTGCGGATTCTGACAGCCCCATGATATGGAGATGCTTCCGTACTTGGCAATGACCAGTCAGAATGCCTGTGACCAGACGCAGATTCTGTCTAGTCATAGTCAAGTATTTGTTTGCTGCAGTGTTGTCAGGATAACTTAGGAGCTCCCTGGCAACTCTGCAGTTTCTTGTTTCATCCCATCTTTCCTTGAATTTCACAAGGGAATGTTCTTTAATTAGGTCTGTCACTACCGATTTTGTCAGGCCAATAGAAGGGCCAGGTCCAAAAAGTATTTGGTTGGCTGCTTTCCTGGCTAGTGAATCAGCAAGACGGTTACCTTTTGATGTGGCGTGACCTTTGATCCATCTTAAGGTGACCACATTGTTGATGGATACTTCGGCCGGAGCTTCCTGATATTCTAGTACTGAGTAAATTCGTGGTCTGTTCAGGGTGAGTAGTGCTTGTCTGCTATCTGTATAGATGAGCATGTTCCTTCCAGTGATATTATTTCTGGTTATTTCTTTTGCTGCCATGAGAATCCCCGTTAGCTCTGTTTGAACTACACTGGCACTATTGCTCACAGCCCATTTTACGTTTAGGTTTAGGAATCTGGAGTATATTCCGCATCCTGAGCCTTGTTTTGTTTCAGAACCGTCGGTGTAGATATGAATCGTACCTGCCACTTCTGGTTCTTCTATTTGTTCTATTATAACTTTATATGGCTTATGGAAGATATATCTCGGTGAGATGGAGTCCATGTTCGCTTGGAGCAGTTGGAGCGTATCGAGTGCCTCCTGCCAAAAGTGACGTCTCGCCTCAACAGATCCTACATCAGGTTCTATTCCGACCGTGCGGAGGCGTGTCATTGTCGTCAGAGCAACCTCCTTGATGTAAATATCAAGGGGAGTGAGACTAAGAATGACTTCCATCGCTCTAGTCAGTGTTGTTTTCATGGCTACTGTTATGTTGAGACATGCTCTTCTTTGAATTTGTTCTAGTTTACGGATAGCTGTTAATTTTTGGGTTTTCGGTACCTAAACAACTGCACCGTATGTAAGCATAAGTCTTATGATAGTCGTGTAAGTCCATGCGACGACTCTGGGGGAGAAACCCCAGGTGCGTCCCACAGTACGGCGGTATTGTTCATAAGCAATGTATGCTCTTTTAACTCTGTTTTCTAAATTCGAGTTTCATGTTAACTTGCTGTCAAAGGTGAGACCTAGGTACTTCATCTCTGTCGCAAAGTTTAGTTTTGTGTTTAGGAGTTCTGGAGGTTTTAATTCCATTTTCATCCTTTTCCTTGTGAAAAGGACTATTTCTGTCTTTTTAGGATTGATAGACAGTGAATGATCCTTCCAGCACTGTTCTATAATTTTTAAAGCTACTTGCATTGTTTCGCAGAGTATGTTCTCAAAACTCCCTGTTTGCAAAATGACCAGGTCATCGCATATGCGATTGTGTAGTGACTGGCATTATTGAGGCGGCTGATGAGGGTGTTGAGGACCATATTCCACAGTAGAGGTGATAGCACCGCTCCCTGTGGATATACCCTCGCAACCAAGCCTCTTATATTCACATCTTCTACACTTATGTTGCCTGCTCGCTTTGAGAGCATGTTATGCATCCACCCACTAACCATTTGTGGAACATTCCTGTTGGTTAGTAAGTGTATTATCTTTCGGAAGGTGGTTTTATCAAAAGCACCTTCTATGTCTATGAAAACACCCAAGGCGGACTCCTTGTCAAGAAGTAGTTATATTCTTCTCTTTTGTAGGTATATGTATACGTGTACATATTTTTTTGTTTTAATAGCTTGTATTTCTTGTTTCGTTTTTTCCTTGTTCATAGAGTGTTATGTTATTTTTAAATAATAATAGAAGCTCCACCTTGAGAAGAAAGCGAAACACAGACAAGCTGTTGAACAGCGAAAAAAAAAAGATCAGAGCCGGACTGGTTGAAAATTGCTCTCACGACATTATATTGATTATTAAATAAATTTTCGAATTGGTTTTATATTTGAACAGAATTTTACAAGCAAAGGCTGTGATTATTTATATGCGTATTTCCAGATGACGTATTTATTGGCTTTGGGATGCTATTTGATCTATTATTAAAATTAGTATTTCTTAAAATTTGGTCATTTCAGTTGAAATTAGTTGAATTTTAAAAATTTTGATTTTTGAATTTATTTGATTGGTTGAACTGGGATTTCTAGATGAATTGATTTTGATTCTGAACATTTTAATTTTGGATATTTCGTTTATGTTGTCTTGAAAAATTATTAGAATTTAAATGACCTTATTAAATTCAAAGCTATGTCGATTAATTTGTCAATAATAGCTCTTAAAGTATAATCATTAATTATTGTAGCTGCATTATTTTTATTCAGAAAATTGTACAATCAAACTTTTACAAGCATCTGAAAAGTATAGTTTGTATATAAGAGTTCCCATCAAAATTTGGAATAGTGTCTACATCTAATTGCAAAAGTAGATAAATTGATTTGAATATTTAAATCTGAACTTTCTGAATCTGAACTTTCTAAACTTGATTCTTCTATAGGAGGTAAATTATCTAAATTTAATGAGGAATCTGTCCTAAGAGTACTATTAAAAATATTCACTAATTTGTCTATTTCCGACATAAAATATAATACGTTTTTACAATGTCTTATTTCATTCCAGATGTGAAAATTAAAAATCAATAATATAATTGTCTCGAAAATAAAATGTTTAAAATGAAAGGAGAGCAAAATTTCTTACTCAATTCCTAGAATTATTTTCCTCATACCAATAGAATCAAATGATGCTATCTCTTTACCCTGATTTTCTTTAAACTGGCAGCATTTGACGATGTGTTCCTCGTCCGGGATCTCCAAACTTCGGCAATGTTGGTCCTTTGCTTGGATATATAATTTTTGGTCAGTTTATTTAATAAATTTTCGCGATTTAGATTTGCCGTTAAACTATTAAAATAGACCGATTTGACCCGATTTTTGTTGTCACACCGTTAGGCAATCCTGCTGACTGCGTCACTTTTAGATTCTCCAATAAAATTCATTTTGCTTTAACAATATAAAAGTTAAAATGTAATAATTAGAAAACGCCGACAACCAACTAGTTTTCTTGCAGCTAGATCTTGGCGAGGCCTTATCTTGGACATGCAGTGTTCGCATAATCTAGTTGTAATCGATTTAGTTGCGTCAAATAATTCCAATTATAAATCAGTAGTCACAGATTCGATTATTATATAAGAATTTTAATCAGCAATTATCTATATCTAGCAAACTATTACAATGCTAATTTTTTATCACTCTGAATGTTCGCCATAAATATAAAGAATTGTAGTGTATAATCAATACAAAACTGTCCAAAAGATTCCAACGTCTCTGGTGCACCTGAACTCTTTCCCAAATCTCTTTATCGTAACCGTTCTCCGCGATCGTATCCGAGAAACTCTCCGTATTTTCCATTGTGTTTAACTCAGCTAACAGTAGCAATTTTCCATTTTCAGTCGACCGTCAGACTTCCATAACAACTCGAAAAGAGAAAATCAAACAACGAAAGAAAAACAGGAAAACAGCCATTTAAGAAATCTAACCAAACTAAACTACCCCTCTCTTCAACCCTTTCACCCCGCGGGGATCGAGGAGCTTCAAAATCGGGCGAAATGCGAGAAATACAGGAAAAAGCTGACTCTAAACGGGGATTTCGAGAGCGAAAAAGAATTCCTTATCGAAACAAATGGCTTAAGGACAAGGGAGAACGGGGAGAGTTTTAAAGTTTCTGGAAACTCCGCGGATGGGGATGCGAATTGGCAAGGTGAGTTTTGGAATTTCGACTTCATTTTGTGTATAAGTGTATAAAGCAGTTATTTAAATGTATTCTGAGAAAATAATTGAATGGAACATATAAATCTGCATCTACTCGTATATAGAATGTCCTTCAAAAGTACTTAGAGATGACCATTGGTTTTTTTTTTCTGAACATAATCTTCTAATAATGTGTGATCCTTAATGTTATGTATGTGGTATTAATTAATGCATACAATTATTATTTTCACTATTATCACTAATGCAGTAAGATAAGTCTCAATTCCTATACCTTACTTCAATTTTATGTTGCTAAGGAGAACATCATTTTTGCACCGATTTCGTCCCTATTAGGACTCTCAGCAAGTAATTAAATTTTCGCCAATCAAGAATGTCTATTTTTTGTTAATGAGTCATTTTCCGTTTATCTTTGAATATAATTCAATGTCTATTGCAGTATTAGCCAAAGGAGTAGTTGTTTTTCGAAAAAAAAAAAAAAACGGTCGCTTGTCTTTGTCACATTAAGGTTGGAATTATATTCTTCCTTTTTTTGAATATTTATATAAATTCCATATTCTCCTTAACTAATACTAATACCAATACGGAACAAGAGAAAATCGAAAAAGAAACTTACTTTTTAAATATAAAAATCTGAATGTACCATAAACTTTTAACAATATTATTCTAGATACTTGTGATTGGACAATTGTTTAATCATGAAATCCCTTGTGACGATACTTATGTAATTAAGGCTGCAGAAACGGTAAAATACTTAAACCTTAAAGGGACAGATCATATAAGACAAAAAAAACTACAATTTATTTATACAGGATGGGCCACCGGTAACGCCATGATCTGTAGAGCAAAAACTATTTTTATATAACAGGCATTTTTAAAAAATTTTCACTTGTTTCTCTCCCTTAAATTAAAATTACATTTCATTCAAAGTCGATGGTAAGAATATATTGTCTAAAGGTGTATTCTATTTGCGATAGGTTTAGTTTCAATTTTTCATCTTTCTTTTTACTTATGGGGCATTTTCTAAATTTTTTCCTTGAAAGGTAATTTTCTTTTTCTCGAGAGTTGGATTTCTCTGGAGTCTTTTCTCTCGATAGTTGGTTTTAACTTGAGCCTTTTTTCTCGAGAGGTGGTTTCCCCTAGAGTCTTTTTCTTTGAGAGTTGGATTTTCTCGAGACTTTTTTTCCTTAAGATGTGGATTTCTCTAAAGTCTTTTTCTCAAGAATTACTCTTTTTTCGTGGATAGTTTGATGCTTCTCTCGAGTCTTTTTTCCTCGGGTGGTGGTCTTTATTTCGAGTCTTTTTTCCTCGGGTGGTGGTTTTCTTTCGAGCCATTTTTTCTCGAAAGGTGGTTTTCTCTCGAGCATATTTTCTCAAGAGGTGATTTTCTCTTGAGTCTTTTTTCTCGACGGGTTGTTTTTTATTAAGTATTTTTTCCTCAAGAAGTGGCCTTTTCTCGATATTTTTTCATCGAGAGGTGGTTTTCTCTAGAGACTTTTTCATTAAGAGTTAGTTTTTCTCTAGAATTTTTAATTGAGAGTTAGATTTTCTCGACTCTTTCTTTCTCGAGAGTTGGGTTTCCCTAGAGTTCTTTTTCCTCGATAGTTTGATTTCTCTCGAATCTTTTTTCCATGAAAAGTGGTTTTTGTTTCCCTAGAAGTTGTTTTCTCTCGAACCTTTTTCCCTCAAAAGGTGGTTTTTCCAAAAAATGTCTTTACTCGAAAGGTGGGTTTCTTTCGATCCTATTTACTTGAGGAGTGGTTTTCTTTAGTCTTTTTCCTTTAGAGATGGTTTCCTTTCGAATCTTTTCCTCGAGAGTTGGATTTCTATCTAGTCTTTTTTTTGAGAGATGGGTTTCTCTAGAATTTTTTTCCTCCAAGAGGTGGTTTTCTCTAGAGTCTTCTTTCCTCGATAGGTGATTTTCTCTCGAGTCTTTTTTCCTCAAGAGTTCTGTTTCTCTCGAGGCTTTTTTCCTCAAGAGGTGGTTTTCTCTCGAGTGTTTTTTGTTCGAGAGGTGGGTTTTTCTCGAGTCTATTGAGCCTATTTCATCTAGGGGTGGTTTTCTCTAGACTTTGAGAGTTGAGTTTACTTGAGACTTTTTCCTTGTGATATGGTTTTCCATCGATTTTCTTCCTCAAGAGTTGGGTTTCTATCTTGTATTTTTGTCGAGAGTTTGGTGTTTCTCTCGAGTCTTTTTTTTCTCGAGAGTGACGTCTTTTTTTTCCTGGAGAGGTGGCTTTCTCTCAAGTCTTTTCTCCTCGAGAAGTGGTTTTCTTACGGTTAGTCCGTTTTTCTGGAGGGTTATATTTCTCTAGAATTTTTTTTTCGAGAGTTTGGTCTTTTTTCCTAGGGTGGTGGTTTTCTTTTGAGCCTTTTTTCCTCAAGAAAGTGGTTTTCTCTTTAGTGTTTTTTGGTCGAGAGGTGGATTTCTCTAGAGCCTATTCCCTCGAGAGATGGTTTTCTCTAGTCTGTTTCCTTGAAAGTTGGGTTTTCTCAAGACTTTTTTCCTCTAGAGGTGGTTTTACTTGAGTTTTTAACTCTAGAGTTGGGTTTTTAAGAAGTCTTTTTCTCTCGAGAGTGTGGTGTTTCTCTTGAGTATTTTTCTTATAGAGGAGGATTTCTCTAGAGTTTTTTTTTCTCGAAAGTTTGGTTTCTCTCGACTATTTTTTTCTCAAATGATGCTTTTCTTTCGAAACTTTTTTCCCTCGAGAGATGGTTTTCCCATAAAATGTTATTGCTTGAGAGGTGTATCTTTTTCGAGCCTATTTCCTTGAGGATTGGTTTTTTTTAGGTTTCTTCCTTGAGAGTCTTTTCTTTAAGAGTTGGATTTCTATCTAGTCTTTTTTTTTCAAAAGTTTGGTGTTTCTCTCGAGTCTCTTTCCTTGAGAGTAACCTTTTTTTTTTTTTTTTTGTGGAGAGGCTAGTATTTCTCGAATCTTTTTCCCTCAATAGGTGGTTTTCTTTAGAGTGTTTTCCGCGATGGTTTGGTTTCTCTAAAGTTTTTTTCCTCGAGAGTTTAATTTCTCTGGAGTTTTTTTCTCTACAGGTTGTTTTTATCTCTAGCCTTTTTTCTTCGAAAGGTGGATTTCTCTAGAGTCTTTCGTTGAGAATAAGGTTTTTTCTTGAGACTGTTTTCCTTGAGATGTAGTTTTCTCTGGAGCCTTTTCCTCAAGAGTTGAGTTTCTAATCTTTTTTCGAGTCTTTTTTCCTTGAGTGTAACGTCTTTTTTTCCTCAAGAGATGGTTTCCTTTTGAGTCTTTTTTCTTCAAAAGATGGTTTTCTCGAGTCTTTTTTCCTTAAGAGATGGTTTCCTCTTGAGTCTTTTTTGTTCAAAAGATGGTTTTCTCTCGAGTCCTTTTTCCCCGAGAGGTGGTTTTTCCCGAGTCTTTTTTTCCGAGAGTATCGTTGTTTTTTCTGGAGAGTTAGATTTCTCTCTAGTGTTTTTTCCTCGAGAGTTTAGTTTCTTTTCAGTCTTTTTCCCTCAAAAGTTTAGTTTCTCTCGAGTCCTTTTTCCTCTGGTAGTGGTTTTCTTTCGAGTCTATTCTCTGGAGAGGTAGTTTCCACTAGTCTGTTTCCTTGAGAGTTGGGATTTCTCGAGGTGGTTTTCTCTTAAGTCTTTTTCTCTAGAGTTGGGGTTTTAAGTAGTATTTTTTTCTTGAGAGTTTGGTGTTTCTCTCGAGTCTTTTTTCTTCGAGAGTAACACCTTTTTTCCTGGAGCAGTGCCTTTCTCTTGAGTCTTTTTTTCTCGAGAGTTGGATTTCTGTCGAATTTTTTTCTCGAGAATTTAGTTTTTCTCGAGTTTCTTACTCGAGAATTTGATTTTTCTCGATTTTCTTCCTCGAGAGTTTGATTTTTCTCGAGTTTTTTCCTCGATAAGTGGTTTTCTCTCGAACCTTTTTTCCTTGAGAGGTGCTTTTCTCTAGTCGTTTTCATTGAGAGTTGGTTTTTTCTAATCTTTTTTTTTTCGATAGGTGGTTTTCTCTTGATTCTTTTTTCCTCAAGAGGGTGGTTTTCTCTCGAGTCTTTTTTCCTCTAGAGGTGGTTTTTTCTCGAGTCTTTTTTCATCAAGAGGTGTTTTTTATAGAATCTTTTTTCCTCAGGAGGTGTATTTTTCTCGAACTCATCTCCTCGAGATGTAGTTTTCTCTAAAGTTTTTCATTAAGAGTTGGTTTTTCTCTAGTCTTTTTTCCTTGAGAGTTGGATTTTTCTCGAGAGTTGGATTTTCCCCGAGAATTGGATTTTCCTCGAGTCTTTTTTCCTCGAGAGTTTGCTCAGAGTTTGGTTTTCTCGATTTTTTTCTCAAGAAGTGGTTTTCAAGAGCCTATTTCCTTGGGGGTGTTTTTTTTATTATTTATCCTTGAGTGGTGGTTTTATTTCGAGCCTTTTTTCCACAAGAGTTGGGTTTCTATCTAATATATTTTACAAATTCTTGATTGTTTCGGTCTTTACTTGATGAACATTCATGTTTTTAAAATGAGAAGACAAAACACTTTTATTAGAAAACGTAAAAATTTAAAATTACATTTGAAGAAGTTTTACTTCGAAACAATTATCTGTAATTTTTAATTATTTTAAATAAAAGTGTTTTGAGAAAATTTACCATGTTTGTTCTTCTCATTTTAATTGTATCTAGTATTTTTTCGTCGATAGTTTGGTGTGTCTCTCGAGTCTTTTTTTTTCTGAAAAGGTGGGTTTCTCTCGAGTCTTTTTTCCTCGAGAGATGGTTTTCTCTCGAATCTTTTTTTTCAAGAAACTTTTTTCTCTCGAGTAATTTTTCCTCGAGAGGTGTTTTTCTCGAGTCATTTTTCTCGAGAGTATCGTTTTTTTCTGGAGAGTTGAATTACTCACGAGTCTTTTTTCCTCGAAAGTTTAGTTGCTCTCGGATCTTTTTGTTGGTGTGGGTGTTGGTTTTCTAACGAGTCTTTTTTCTTCGGGACAACAATAAAATTTGGCACCCTTTTTAGAGTCTGTATACGGCCAAGCACTGCATACTCACCTTATACCTATTTTTACGTATACTCCTATATTTTAAAATTTAGGATAATTGATATTTTTGTTATAATATGAACTCAAGTTTTTTTCAAAAAAAAAAAAAAACGAGAAAACAAAATATTAATCATTTAGTAGGAACGAAATTTGAATACAAATATATTTCTTTGAGACCCTGAATTTCCATTTCAATAAGATATATTTAACAACTGAAAATAACCAATTTAACTTTTTACCACCTACTCGAAAACTTTTACGCCACTTCTGATTCAAAAAATTTCCTCTTCCGATTTCACAGACCACAAAACCTTCAAGACGGGCAAAGTGTCCGACACAGACTCCGGAATAGCATCCCCGCTATCCCCCGGTTCCGTGTACGGCTTCCTAGGGCACTTGGATAAGGTTAACGGTTTCCCGAAAAAACATTCTATGGGTCAAACAGGAAGGGAGGAGGTTTCAGGGAAGAATTGTTGTTGCAAAGGCGAAAGAGCACAGGTAAGTGAATATGCCAGCGTGAAAGGGGGATTTTTATTAGTTTTATTCGATAAAGAAAGGTTAAGATTAGATTAAAGGATGGCATGTTTGGTGAAATTGAGTTTTATGGGGTGATTACGATGAAATAGGTTTAGAAAATGGATTTTAGTAAAACGCAAGTGAGTGGACAATGAGGTATAAAAAATAATCTCTATACTAGTACCTATGTACTTAATAATTATTTGGTTTCAATTTCAATTTATTTCGCAATAATTGTGTTTTTTTACTGCATCAAACAAAATTATTTTATTTTAGAAAAAACGTATTTTGATTGTTATTTTCAGCTCGTTGTGGTGAAAGTGGTGAAAGGTGAAAAAATCAAAATAAAATCAAACATAAAGTAGTAGAAAAAGTTATATAAAAATATTGAGTCAAAATTAGGAAAAAGGATTAAGAACATAGATAGTCCTCATAAAAATGTCTCTCTGGTCCTGACTCCTTTAACTATATAATAAAAACTAAATATATTACCTACCAGTATTCTATTTCATGCCATCAACTCCCAAAAAACCATGTATATATTTATCCTTTGTCACGTTTGGCTTCTCGTTCCCTATCCGGTGTCATCTCAAAGCTGCAACGAAACCCCCGCGAGAGTTTGATTTAAATGAAGAGATAATAACACCAAATAATCACCCTTATCTAAATTCAACATCTACGAACCGAGTGACCCCGGAAGAATTTGCATTCAAATGGGAAAATGCCGAAGAACGCTCTTTGAATTGTGTCATGGACCCCGGTATTTTACCCTTTTGGCTACTGCGTCTGTTTTAAATGTTTAATGTACTAAAAATCAAGTCAATTAAAAGGGTATTGTGTATCGCTATTTAATGATGGAAAATATTTGATTGGTATGGAATATTTTGTGAAATGTAAAATAATAAAAATGAATTTTATAAAAACTCTTTTTTTAAGAAAGTGTTAACTAGACCTTTTCCATCTCTAGCACTATTTTAGAAAGAATTTACAAAACTACAATATCTTCTTCACAATATACTAAAAAATGTTTTTTATTTAGAGAAATTTACTAGTAATAAAAAATATAGGGTGTCCCATTTAAATAAAACATGGAAAACAAGGGTCCGAGTTTTGAATCGTGTATAATTAAGCATAGAATAAAAACGTTACTTAAGAAAAGTGTAATACATGATATTTAAAAACTCGTGTAGGTAAAAAACTGTTTTTCCACAGTATGTAATTGGCTTCAAGACGTTGATTTACTTATTTACTTTTAGAGTACTCTATATAATCTAGGCAAATCTTATAATTTAAATATGGAAAATCTGATTTAAAAAAACATGTTTGGTTAGTACCTGAGTCATGCAAACCCCTGTATACCTCTTAGAGTGGTCGTTATTACATTTTTCCGACGCCCTAAAAAAACCTTCAGTAATTTTTTTTAACAAGAATCGTTTTTTCAAAATATCTTTTAAAGTAGACGGATTTAAGAAATTTTGATTTTATATATGGAGTTAATGAGTTTATTATTGAGGTATTTTTTATAGAGAAATTTTCCTCAAGAGTTTAGTTTTTCTCGAGTTTTTTCCTCGAAAGGTAATTTTCTGTCGGGCCTTTTTTCCTCGAGAGATGTTTTTCTCTAGTCTCTTTCATTGAGAGTTGGTTTTCCTCTAATCTTTTTTTTTTTCGAGAAGTGGCTTTCTCTAGATTCTTTTTCCTCGAGAAGTGTTTTCCTCTCGAGTCTTTTTTTCCTCAAGAAGTGGTTTTTTATAGAATTTTTTTGCTCAAGAGGTGGTTTTTTAGTCTTTTTTTCTCGGGAGGTGGGTTTTTCTCGAGCCCATTTCCTCGAGAGATGTTTTCTCTAGAGTTTTTCATTGAGAGTTAAGTTTTCTCCAATCTTTTTTTCTCAAGAGTTGAAGTTCCCTAGAGTTCTTTTTCATCGATATTTTGATTTCTCTTGAGACTTTTTTCCCGAAAAGTGGTTTTTTTCTCAAGTCTTTGTTCCCTAAGAAGTGGTTTTCTCTCGAACCTTTTTTCCCCCGAAAGGTGGTATTCCTAAAAAATTTCATTACTCGAGAGGTGGGTTTCTTTCGATCGTATTTTCTCGAGGAATGGTTTTCTTTAGTCTTTTTCCTTGAGAGGTGGTTTCCTCTCGAACCTTTTTCTCGAGAGTTAGATATCTATCTAGTATTTTTGTTTTGTTTTTTGAAGAGGTGGGTTTCTCCCAAATTTTTTCCCTCAAGAGGTGGTTTTCTCTTGATTTTTTTTTTCTCGAGAGATAGATTTCTCTCGAGTCGTTTTTCCTCGAGAGATGACTTTTTCTCGAATCTTTTTTCCTCGAGAGTTTTGTTTCTCTCGAATCTTTTTTCCTCAAGAGGTGGTTTACTCTTCAGTGTTTTTTGTTCGAAAAGTGGGTTTTTCTCGAGCCTATTTCATCGAAAGCTGGTTTTTTTCTACTCTTTAAGAGTTGAGTTTTCTCGAGACTTCTTCCTTGAAATGTGATTTTCTCTCGAGTTTCTTCCTCAATAGATGGATTTCTATCTAGTTTTTTTTCGTCGAGAGTTTAGTGTCTTTTTTCTTCAAAAGATGATTTTCTTTAGAGTCTTTTTTCTTTAAAAGATGGTTTTCTTTAGAGTCTATTTTCTTCAAAAGATGGTTTTCTCTAGTCTTTTTTCTTCAAAAGGTGGTTTTCTTTCGCGCCTTTTTTGCTCGAGAGGTACTTTTTTCGATAGTATCGTCGTTTTTTTCTGGAGAATTGGATTTTTCTCAAGTGTTTTTCCCTCGAGAGTTTAGTTTCTTTTCGGTCTTTTTTCCTCGACAGTTAAGCTCGTGTCTTTTTCCTCGGGTGGTGGTTTTGTTTCGCGCCTTTTTTCCTCGAGAGGTATTTTTCTCACGAGTCTTCTTCTGCTCGAGAGGTAGGCGTTCTCTCGAGCCTATTCTCTCGAGAGGTGGTTTTCTCTAGTATGTTTCCTTGAGAGTTGGTATTTCTCGATGTGGTTTTCTCTTGTCTTTTTCTCTTGAGTTTCTAAGTAGTATTTTTCTCTCGAGTGTTTTTTCCTCGAGAGTAACGTCTTTTTTTTTTGGAAACAGTGTGTTTCTCTCTAGTCTTTTTTCTTCGAGAGTTGGATTTTTCTCGAGTTTTTTTCCTCAAGAGTTTGGTTTCTATTGAATTTTTTTTTCTTGAAAAGTGGTTTCCTCTCGAGCCTTTTTTACTTCAGAGGTTGTTTTTTCTAGTATTTTTCATTGAGAGTTGGTTTTTCTCTAATCTCTAAAGAGGTTGTTTTCTCTCGAGTCTTTCTTCCTCAAGAGGTGGTTTTTTATAGTCTTTTTTTTCTCGAAAGTTGGATTTCCCTCGATTCATTTTTCTTAAGAGTTTGATTTCTCTCGAGTCTCTTTCTTTGGGGGCCTATTTCCTTGGGGGTGAGTTTTTTATTCTTTTTTCTTGAGAGGTGATTTTTTTTTCTTTAAAAATTGGGTTTCTATCTAATATTTTTTAAATTCTTGATTGTGTCGGCCGTTACTTGATGAAAATCCATAATATTAAAATGAGAAGACCTAACATGGTAGATTTTCAAAAAACACTTTTATTTAAAAAACGTAAAAATTTAAAATTACATTAGAAGAAGAAGTTGTACTTCGAAACAATTGTCTTGTTATTTTTAATTTTTTTAAATAAAAGTGTTTAATGTGTTTATTATTTAGAATATCTCCATAAATATGAACTATGAAAAAATTAAAAGAGGCATTTTTGTAGAGAATTTTATTTTCTACAAAATTGCTTTTAATTATTTTTTCTCATATCCGTCTACTTTAAGAAATATTTCTAAAAAACTACGATTTTTTCTCTTTATTTTATTAAATCTAATAACTTATCTCTAGTAACTGAAAAGGTGGGTTTTGTTGTGAATTGGCACAAATTATAGTTTTCGGATTTTTCTATTTTTTTTTAGGTTCCTTGTATTTAGAATTTTGGCAAGAATTAAATTTTCTTTTATCCTAATTAGAGTTCCAGCTATAAAAACACCTTAACATAATTTGCTAGACAGAACAACAAAGTTTCCGTTTATATCTCCTTTACAATATTTAATTACTTTACATCTAGCAGGGATTAACATATAATTATTTTGTTGTGTTGTTTGTATAGGAATTATATGTCGTGTATTATTACATGAAAGCGAAAATTGTTGTAGAATAATCATAAAATAAATTTGAGCCCAAAATACCGTGCATTTGAACATCTAAAAGTTGAAATTTATGAAAAAATTTTACGTTATCTATTTGTAATTTAATATTTATTATTCCAGTTGATACTACTGATATACCATTAATTCGTAATTCCTTTTGAAAAATCAACTACTTTATTATTAAATATCCTATTTTTAAAAATAAAACTTAAATTAGCTCTTGTATTTAATAAAAATTCGAGAGACGCTAAAATGGTGGTTCCCACCTTATCGAGACTGAGGTCCACAAGGGTAAAATCGTAGCGTAACAACAACAAGAAATGATTTAACTTGGAACGAAAGACCGAAAGCTGATAGTAGTATTAGGACGTTGAATTTTTTGTTATGTGAAGCATTGGCATTACTTAGGTCAAATCATGTGATGATTTTCACAAGACTTGATTTTTAAAACCATTCTATATCGCCTTTTGATTAGGTTTTAAAAACTTGTTCGAGCAATTTATCCAATAATAATTGGCTCCTTTACCTCTTAAGCCTGCTCATGTAAAATATTTGGGCTTCTTACTTCGCCTATTTATATTCTATTAATAAAGGCAGAAGGATGAGTATTGCAACTATGTTAAAATAAATAAATTGGCTTTTGTATTATTGCCTCTATAATTAAAATTTTGACGACCTTATATGAAATGCATGAATTTTTTTGTTATATAAAATTACTAGCCTTGCTGGAATTTCTCAAACCACAATTATTAAAAGTGAATAACAGTTTTCGTTACTCAAGAGATTTTTTCCTGCTATACCTGGCAATTTTTTTTAATAATTTTAAGTATTTTTTAATTATTAGTTTTTATTAATGTTTGTTTTATTAAACTTTTTAATTTTTATTTCATTTTATTTATTTGTATTT